TAAGAAAAAAGATACAATGAGAAGCAAAACAATGAAAGATGGGAAGGGTGGCAAGATTCTTGAGATAGTCCTTTAAAATAAGTAGTATTTCCTGCTTCTCTTACTTTGTTTCAATATTGACATTTTCTTTTTCAGATGGAACTTAACTTCTTGTGGCACAAGCGTAGCCAGCTCCGAATGCAGCGAGGAGCTCTTTTCTTCGGTCTCTGTGGGCGACCAGGATGATTGTTTCTCTCTCTTGGATGATCAGGAGTTAACCTCTTTTGACCTGTTCCCTGAGGGGAGTGTCTGTAGCGATGTCTCTTCCTCCATTAGCACGTACTGGGACTGGTCAGACAGTGAATTTGAATGGCAGGTAAAATAAATAAATAAATTATGAGTTTGCAGTGGCTTGGGTGAAGGGGAGAAACTGTGCTGTCCAATAATGCATTTGGAAGCTTCCAGAATTGTTAGAACAGCCCTCAAAATATTAGACCAGCATTTCTCTCCTTGATGAGTTTCCATACATAGTTTCTTGTCTTGCCTTCTGGTGTTTTGGACCCCCTCTTCTTTGTGATAGCCCCTCAGATATTGGAAGACTGCTGTCATATCTCTCCTAGGCCTTCTTTTCTCTAAACATGCCGAATTCCTGTAACTGCCCTTTGTATGTCCTTATCTCTCATGACAAAAGATTTTGGAAGTCCTGTGAAAGGATGGTGGGATCAGGTTTCTCAAAATCACCAACTTTTAAGATGTGTGGATTCAATTCCCGAGCTGTGTTGGCTGGGGAATTCTGGGAGTTGAAATCCACCTGTCTTAAAACTGTTGCGGGTTGAGAAACAATGCCTTAGAACATAGTTATTAAAAAAATAAACACTGCTTCTGCAGTAGAACGTCTTACATGTTACTCTATTTAGGCCTGAGTGTAGATTTAATTTATATAGCAAGTGTTATGCATGATTAAGGGTGGTATTCTGATTCTATTCTCTTTAAGCTGCCTGGCAGTGACATTGCAAGCGGGAGTGATGTGCTGTCTGACATCATTCCCAGCATCCCAAGCTCCCCTTGCCTGCTTCCAAAAAAGAAAAACAAACACCGGAATCTCGATGAACTTCCCTGGAGTGCAATGACCAACGATGAGCAGGTAAATCCTTGACAATTTGGAAGACCGGCGAGTCTCTTCCAAAATACGGTCCTGGGACTGGGAGCATGGGGGCATGCAAAGGAGCCAGATCAAATAAGAAATAATTTACCGTCTCTTACGGTAAATTATGCTAGCAAGAGAGTCAATTAGACTAGTTAGTTAATTAGACCCAAATCTGAAGGAATGCAGGTAGTCCTTGACCTATGACCACATTTGGGACTAGAATTTTTGTCGTGAAGCAAGGCAGTTGTTAAGTCAGTCATACCCGATTTGATGTCCTTTCTTGCTGCAAGTGTTAAGCGACTCATTGCCTGTTTAGCGAATCAGGCAATTGTTAAACAAATCTTTCTTTTCTCATTGGCTTTGCTTGTTGGAAGCCAGCTAGGAAGATTGCAAAAGGCATTCTCACAACTCTGAGATACTGCAGCCATCATAAATACATGCCAGTTGCCAAGCAGCCATTTGGCTTCTGTAAGCGATGCCTTTCGGCAAACATTAGTCATGTTAAATATTTGTGGGTTTTGTTACCAGGTGGAATATATTGAATATCTGAGTCGGAAAGTCAGTATGGAAATGGGTCTTCGAGAGCAGCTTGATATTATCAAAATTATTGATCCCACGGCTCAGATTTCACCCACAGACAATGAATTCATTATCGAGCTGAACTGCCTCACGGATGAAAAGCTGAAACAGGTATGTGAAAGCAGTCTCTGGCCTTGCAAACCCAAAACCTCTGCTCCCTTCTCACAGCCTGTCTGAGATTGCTCGGCTGCATATATCTCTGTAAATACTAACAATTCTGTTCCAAGGTCTCCGACTTTATACTTGAACGAGTTCAAACAGCAAATTCCACACTGGATTGAGTGTAAAATTAATCAGAAGCAGTCAGTGTAATACAGCCAAGATACAGAGATGGGAAGGTCTGGGGATAAAAAAATGGAAAAATTAGGAAAAAAACCAGGGTTTTTTTCAGGTCCCCCCCCCCAAGCCGTTTGGAAAAAACCTTGTGTCCCCCCCTCTCCCAATTTTTCCAGTTTTTTTCCAGGCCTTCCCATCTTTAGTCAAGAATCTATAAAGGATGATCTTTTTTAGCACAAAATAATAATAATAATAATATCCTTCCAACAGCTGTTTCGGAGGAAAATTATATGGTGTCCCTTTCAGACAAAGGCTTTGTCCCTCTGGTGAAGGAATTCCTGAAACATTAACTCCCATTTTGCTATGCTGCTTTTCTTATAAAAGGTGAATGTTGCAGCTAATAATTCTCCACCTATTCAGATTTCTAACCACACCAATACATTTTATTTACTGCAGTTTCTTGTCTGACTGATTGAGATTCTCTTTTGGCTGAACGTGGTTGAGTTTTGTTTTGCTGTTTGTAAAATATGCTGTACTTTGACCGATATCAGTTTCATAAGCACTACATTTTTGTGGTTGGGTTTTATGTTGTGTCTTTGAATTTGTTTTCTTTTTGAATTGGCCAATGACTATAATAAAGTTTATTATTGTAATCACTGCTTAGGTCAATCTGTAGCCTTGATACAGATAGCTGGTGTTTCTTTACTAGATCCGTGAGATACCTAAAGCAGAACTTGGTACAAATACACACACACACACACACACACACACACACACACACACACACACACAATTTGACACCTAGGGGTTGGTTTTGAGTACCAAAATTGAACGGTTCCACACACAGATTTGTGAAAAGGTCCATTGCTGAGAGCCATGGTGGCGCATTCCTTCCTTCCTTCCTTCCTTCCTTCCTTCCTTCCTTCCTTCCTTCCTTCCCTCCCTCCCTCCCTCCCTCCCTCCCTCCCTCCCTGTGATTAGAATGCAGTATTGCAAACTAACTCTACCCACTGCCAGGAGTTCAATCCTGACCGGCTCAAGGTTGACTCAGCCTTCTGTCCTTCTGAGATTTGTAAAATGAGGACCCAGATTGTTGGGGGCAAGAGGCTGACTGTAAACAGCTTAGAGAGGGCTGTAAAACACTGTGAAGCGGTATATAAGTGCTATTGTTATTACAGGATATTCTCTGCTTCTATCCTTAGCATTCTTCATTTCAGTAACATATACAGAGACAGTGGAAATCATTTTGACGCTGCTCTTAGTTATAACTATTACGAATCAGAACCTTCATACTCTGAAACCATCCAAGGATCTATCAACGCAAGGTTTTAAAGCATTTGGGATTCCCAAATATCATCGGACTCGTAAAAGATGCCTTAGAATTGCTAGTCAGGGATGGAAGTGACCTTCTGATGATGTGGGACACCTTTAAAAGACCTGCATAGAATTTGTTGCCGTAATATCTTTTTTTGGGAAGGGGTGGGGAGTCTATCCCAGTTCCTAACCCTTTGCCACTTCCCTGTCCCTTTAGGTCAGAAATTACATCAAGGAGCACGGCCCTCGGCAGCGGTCTGCCAGGGAGACCTGGAAGCGGAGCAGCTACAGTGGGGGCAGCGCCAGCGGTGTGAGCGGCGTCAGCGCCAGCAGCAGCAGCGCCAGTATGGTCAGCTCGGCCAGCAGCAGCAGTTCGAGCATCGGGAACTCGGGTTCGAATTCCAGCGCCAACCTGAGTCGGGCTCATAGCGAGAATAATTTATCGACGAGCGCTGCGGAACGCATCCGGGATTCAAAAGTAAAGCTCCCATTTTGTGGTCATTTAAGCAAACCCATTGTTGCTAGGGGGCATTTTTGCCCCAAACTGGAAGTCGCTGTAAATACAGGACAGTGGCTGAGTGTCTGAATTGCGGTGGTGTGGAGGGAGTGCGGCAGCTGTTGGAACTTCAGAAACTGGCCATAAGTACCATTTCAGGGGTCCATCATAACTTTGAATGGTCAGAAGTCAAAGTCAGAGAGAGTCAGAAGCCAACGTTTCTTTTTCTTTTCTTTTCCTTATCTCCTCACGTCTTTCTCCCCTTTCCCTTCCCCTCTCACTGCTCTGTTACTTTGTATTTCACATTTTATATTACCTTACACCCTAATTAAAAATGTATTATGGATTAAAAAAAATAACTTTGAATGGTCGTAAGTCAAGGACTGATACCGAGACATCTGTATCTTTTTAGAGCGGAGCCTAAAAAGTCGTGTATTTAAAATGGATTGTGATTTATATGTGTATATGTGTGCGTATGTGTGTGTGTATATGTGTATATATCTATCTGTATCTATCCATCCTCTTTCTATCTATCCATCTATCAATCCTCTATCCATCCATCCTCTCTATCCATCCTTTATCTATCTTTATCTATCTATCTATCAATCCATTGTCTGTGTGTCTATCTATCTCAATCTATCTATCCATCCATTCTCTATTTATCTGTCTATCCATCCTCCATCTATATCTATCCCATTGCCACGGGATCAAAATTCAAGACGCTTGGCAACTGACTCATATTTATGACGGTTGCCGTGTCCCAAGGTCACATGATCCCCTTTTGTGACCTTCTGGCCAGCAAAAGTCCACGGGGAAACCAGATTCACTTAACGACCACGTTACTAACTTCACAACTGGAGAGATTCACTGAACAACACATACCGGTGTGTATGTTTTGAGAGCGGACCTCAGGATTGCATTGTTTTAATGTGTGCCAAGGGCATTCACAGGAAAAAAAAAATAACAGGGATGATTAAAAAGCTCATCTCCTCTCCTCTGATCTTAAAAGTGAAAAACTGAGTGTGCCTTTTTTTTTCTTCTCCTCCTCCTCCTGTTTCGACAGAAACGCTCCAAGCAGCGCAAACTTCAGCAGAAGGCTCTGCGCAAGAGGCAGCTGAAAGAGCAGCGGCAGGCGCGGAAGGAGAGGCTGAGCGGCTTGTTCCTCAACGAAGAGGTCCTGTCGTTAAAAGTGACCGAAGAGGACCACGAAGGAGACGTGGACGTCTTGATGTGAGACGGGAATGTCGCGATCGGTGTTCTTTCTAAGCCTTAAGCTTCACTCTCTTGTTTACATAACACTTGTACCAAAACGAGGATTGAATCAGGACTAGCTGTCCTCCTCCTCCTCCTTCTCCTCTTCCTCCTCCTCCTCCTCTTCCTCTTCCTCCTCCTCCCACCACTTAACCTGTGATTGACTAGTTTGGGTTGTTCTGCTGCTTTTCTTTTTTCTTTTTGCAAAATCGTAGGAAAATCAGGAAGACGTTCTTTTTTTAAAAAAAAAAAAATACGTAGGCTGGAGTATTTTGTTTTCAGAGCAACCCACTGGTTAAAAAAAAAAAAAAGCTGCATTTCTGTCTTTGATTTCATTAAAATTATGGAAAGAAAACCCTTGGGTTTAAATTGGAAAATATTTCCTCCTGTCTTCCCGCGATGTAAGTCTTAACGGTTAAAGGAATATAGTCTGCGTAAACAAGAATACGCTTTTGCCAGGACTTTTTGTCTTCTTCTTTGCCACTGCAGTTGTATCAAAGCCTAAAACTTCATAGCTTAGGTTTCCTGGAATTACCACTGTAATTTCATTTAATGTGGGGGTTTCAGAGCTGTGTGACTTAACGCTGTGTGACAGGGCTGTTCTGGTGATCCAGTTGGTGGTTTTAAACCTGTGTTTTTCTCCCTGCTTTCCACAGCAAAGCAAGTATATTTTGGATTAGTCACAATAATCCTTTACATGTAGAGCTTGGTAGGCATTTTGTAGGTGATCTGGGGTTTGGTATCAAGCAGCGGAGAACAGATAAGAAATGCTTATTGACAAATACATATTTCTTTTTTTCCCCCAATGCATGTATTTCTGCCTCTGTTCCAAATCCCCATAGTGTCTTGTGCCTTAAAATTAATTTGATTTCTTTTTTTTTTTCCCCTTGTTGCTTAATATGGAAGTTTTGGGGGAAAAATGGCAAGAAGAAAGAAGATCAAAGCACCCCAAAGTTCTTCAAAGCATAATTTAGCTCACCCTGCTTCTTTTTTTTTTTTCTTGAAGAACCGCAAAGCGAGTTGTACATAAAAGAGAAATTTTTATATTGAAAAAAAACCCCCACATGTTACAAATTAAGCGTGAAGGGCCGCATTGGCCTTTAGTTAACATTGATAGCTAATATTGAAGAAGTGCCACGAGATGAAGAAACTGCTTAGGCAAATGTATTTGAAAGAGTATTGCAGTATTCTATGATGTTGCCTCGAAGTAATTTAAGCTTCCATTATTTGTGCAGAAGGACTGAGATGTATTTCTTTCTCTGTTCCAAATCCCCATGGGGGGGAATTAATACTTTGATTTTAGATGCACATGCTTCCAGAGTCAAGCTGTGTATTGCTTGCTTTCGGATAGAAACAACTTTCTCTGTTTTAAACTAACCATTTTGTTCTTTCATCTGATTTAAAATCTAGACGTGATTAGACAAAACTGTAGTTTGCCTGTAGTTGACTCATTCCAGCATTTTCAGATAATCTGTAATTAAGAAAAAGATTTATTCCAGGTATGCATGAAGCAGTAATCTTTGATGACTGAAACAGAATGTGAAGCTTTTCTGGGGGGGTTTTCTTCCCCCTGGGGTTTACACAGGGGAACTATTTAAATTGTATTTCAACATTCTAGTTGATCCATATTAGGGTAATGTACGCAATATTGGATAGATGTCAAATATTTATAGATATTTAAAATTCACTAGATTATTTCTACAAGACAAATTCCTCTTTGTTTCAATTTTTAATTCTGGATTGTAGTTTTGGAGCATAGTTACATTTAGTTATAATCATTGACTCTGCTCAAGAACAGGAAAATTATTCTAAAGTACTGTAGCCAAATCATACTCTGTGAGTACTAAGGCGGATTAAAATGTTATAGCCCAATACTCAGTGTTGTAACAAATGTTGAAGAAGTGTGACCCCCCTCTACATCTTCTAGTCCTTTATTTCTATAATTACCCCAAAGTTTCCAATTGCTTTAATCCTGCCCTCCCCAGCTAATTTTTCACCTCTATGTGTGTGTGTTAAAATAATGATTGTTTACAGTGACTCACATATTGATTCCTGGTTAACATCTGCTAAGGTAGTTTTAAAAATTCAAGATGCTTTTGACTAAGCTGTGGTCTAAAGCCACATGTTTTTGGTTTTTCTTATTTTTTTTTTTACAAATTTAAAAGCAATGTTAGAATATAGAAAGGAGCTATTTTGTAGCTCATTGCCTGTGTTCTATTTATTGTAAGCTTTTTACAAGCTGCATAAATATTTAATAAAATAACTTAAGCAATCGAGAGAATAAGTAATCCACTTCTCTCGCAAAGCTTAGAAGGAGCACTGAAAACCTGATTTTTTTTTTTTAAAAAAAGGCTGTTCTGTTAGCTGAATGTAACTGAAAAACCTGTTTACATTTTGTGTCTGTCTGTGCATTCTGTTTCCTCACCCACTACAAATGTTCCAATAAGCCAAGTATTTGACTTTAAACAAAGGAGAAAAGTTCATGTAAAAAAAAAAAAGATTGCCTAGAATGCTTTGGTAGTTCCTAACAGCTGAGATATTTTCTTGATCTAGAGTAAAGATTTTACTCCTTTCCATTTTGTTTGTTTTATTTTTCTACATGGTGTTGAAATAAAAAGAGTTTCTAGAGACAAATTATCTGCATCGAATTGTATATATAAGCGACTGTAAAGTCCTTTTCAAGGATCCTGTATCATAGCTGTAGAGAATCTTATAGAACATTAGCCAAATGTCTTAATTCTAAAAGAAACACTAATAGGTTTGTGCTCTATCTCTTCTTGAATTATCCCCACCTCATCCCTCTGGATCACTTCAGCAATAGTTAACTCGTCGATCCCTTTTGAAGGTTAGTAACCCATTTTTGGTGATCCAACAGATCCACGGTGTTTCTCATGGCATTCTCCGTTCTTTTCGTACATTGGTTTAGGATTCAGTTGCTGGGGGGAATCCGATTGAGAAGGTTACTCTTCTTCCCTCTGAGGTCAATGTTTCTGGACGCTCTTGAGGTCTTGTGGGAAACTTGAGGTGATTTATATGGCAACTTGATCAGTCCATTCAAAAGTGATCATTAGTAAATCAGGTCGAGATCACGAGCTTCTTACCTAAGTGTGGGCATGTGTGAAGGCAGAGAGCAGTGCATGTGGCCTCAAATGTGCTATTTATAACCTGGTTGAGAGACAATAGTGTGTAAAATGGACGCAAAGAAATGTGAGCTTCATAACCAAAGCAAAGAGAGAGTTTTTAACTTTGGCAAGGATGCTTCGGATGGAGATCTATCTAGCTATCATCTATCTATCTATCTATCTATCTTATCTATCTATCTATCTTCTATCTTCTATATGAACTGTTTCCTAATTTTCTGCCACAATGTATATTGAAACGGATGTATATACAATTTTTCATTGTACATTCTGTATCTACTTAACTGCAGTGTTTGTAGAATCGACTCCTTTTTTGTTCTTGATGTTATGAAAATTTTAACAGCTAAGTATAAAATACTGGGCATCATGGTTTGTTTGTTTTTTCCCCTCTTTAGCTCTGAATTGTATTTAAAAATAATAGTCTGGGTTGACATTAAAGACAAGATATGCTGATGCAAAATAGCATGTGCCATGTTTTATCTGGAAAAGGGTAGCTGGGAATTTTAGCTAATATTTGGGGGATATAAAACATCATGCTCATGTTGTTTTCATGTGGGTGGTTCCACATCTGAATGATAAGAAAACAAATTGCTTGTAATTATTTTATTCTAGAGGAATTCTAGAGGCGACCAAAAATAGGAATGGACATTCCTGATTCAAGATAGAATCTTACAGAGTTTGAAATCTAAAGCGGAGGTTGTAGGGCAGGAGAACATAAGCATAGTGGACAAATTCTACCAAAGGCAGGTAAGTTTATAACTACCGTGTTTCCCCGAAAATAAGCCCTCCCCTGAAAATAAGCCCTCCCCGAAAACATTTAACCGCATGCACAGCCGGTCCCCGCCATTTCCTCTGGTTAGGGTTAGGGAGAGAGAACTGGAAATCCAGTAAAACGGCAAGAGGAGCCCGGTCTTGCTCCATGTGCCCCAAAATAATAAGACCTTCTTATTTTGGGGTTCAAAAAAATATAAGACAGGGTCTTATTTTCGGGGAAACACAGTACAAAATTTAGGAGTTTGGAGATTTACATTTAAGAAGAATAAAATAGCTCCTTATTCACATTCAGAATTACTATAGTAGTAAATGTCTCTCAGATCACTCTGCTTGAAGCTTTTGATTGCTCCCACAAGAGGGAGCAGCATTTTCATGCTTATCTGCTTTTAGAAACACCCCAAAGCAGCAGACAATGTCTTTTCAACGAGCAATATATTTACACCCTGAACATAAATAATTATTTAAGGGTCAACCTATTTTCCAAAGCACCAGAAGGCAGTTAAGAAGCAGCGGATGGAAACTAATCAAGGAGAGAAGCAACTTAGAACCAAAGAGAAATTTCCTGACATGGAGAAAAATCGACCAGTGTTGTTTTCAGAAATGATGGGTGCTCCCATCCCTGGAAGTTTTGAAGAAAAGATTGGACAGCCATTTCTCCAGAGTATAGGTATAGGGTCTCCTTTTTTTTTTTTTGCTTTAATTTATATGCCGCTCTTCTCCGGAGACTCAGGGCGGCTTACAATGCGTTAAGCAATAGCCTTCATACTTTTGTATATTTATACAAAGTCAGCTTATTGCCCCCACAATCTGGGTCCTCATTTCACCTACCTTTGAAAGGATGGAAGGCTGAGTCAACCTTGAGCCTGGTGAGATTTGAACTTGCAGTAATTGCAAGCAGTAGATGTTAATAACAGTGCTTTAGTCCACTGTAATGCAGACTCTTTCTTGTGCAATGGGTTGGACTAGAAGACCTTCAAAGTCCCTTCCGATTCTGTTATTTTGGGTTCGATCTATATCTTGCCTTCCCTCTTAAAACCTTGACGTGACTCATGTGATCACTTGTTTTGAATGGGAGGTGGTCTTAAGATGCATGGAAAAAGTAGATAATTGTTTGATGGAACCCCTAGCTAAGTTTTACCTCTTAAGCAAGTACATTTTTTTGGTGCAAAATTATGGGAACACTAAAAATGGCCTTAGACACAATTGGCTCTTCGTTCTAGGACAATAGAAAGAGATTTTTTTCCCCCATTATGTGCCAACTGACCTTTTGATTAGCTTTGGAATCCGGTTCCCAAGACAAGTTACCTTAAATTGAAAGAAACTCACATTTAATTATTCTTGTATCCTTAATCTTTATAGAAGTTTGTACGCTGGCTCTGTTTTGGCTACAATGCATCTGTCTCCGATGAATTGAAAGCAAAGCCCAGAATCTAGAAAGTAGTGATTTATTACACGTTCTTTAAATTTTCACGCTTGGCTGTCACCAGGGTAGATCTGCCAAAACGGTTGACAGAGATGTTTAAAAAACCAGCAGGCAGAATAGTCAATTCTGTGGCCTTAAAATAAATGTATCTATTGACTGATAAAAAGTATTTGCAGGCTGATAAAACAAGTAATTAACGGAGCCGAACACGTTCTAAGGGCCTGTATTAAAATTCGGAGAAATCTCCCATCTGCTTGCCAATTGCCACTAATGCAATTTATATAAGGCTCAATTTCATCTCTCTATTTGCTGAACAAGCTATCGGATACACAAAGTGCCAAAATATATATACATGAGCGAGTCATCACCTGAGCTTAATTGCACACAAATTTCCAGCAGAGTTAGTATAAACGCAATTAGCTTATAAACGGTGTATCTGTTCTATCCGAAGAAGTGGATCGTCTCTGATAGGGCTTAGTGACATCGATTTCTGATTAATCATTTTACTTAATGACTCATCTGTAATCACAAGTGCAGTGAAAAACATTGTGTTTGTCTACCGGGCATCAAGTCACTTTGCCTTTGTTTGAAGAATTACCCTGCCAGTGTTGGATAGCAAGCCAATTTATTACAAGTCTACAAAGGGAGGAAGCAGTTGTGAGTATTTGTACTCAACAACAGTTTGTTTAGTGACCAAAGTTATAACGGCCCTGAAAAATGTGACATGACCGTTTTTCGGACTTACGACCCTTCGCAGCCTCCCCATGGTCACGTGATCAAAAATTCAGGTGCTTGGCAACTGGTTCATATTTATGACGGTTGCAGTGTCCTGGGGTGTGTGTTTGTGTCAAGTGTTGTGACCATTTTGTGACCTTCTGACAAGCAAAGTCATCGAAGCCAGTTTCGCTTAACCGCCATGTGACTAACTTAACAAATGCAGTGTCTCGGCTTGCTCACCGGACCTGGTAACATTGACACCGCTGCGTTTCTCTAGTACCCGATGTGTCGAGCTGACATGGGTCTCGACACAATGATTCACTTAACAACTGTGGCAAGAAAAGTCCGTAAAATGGGACAAAACTCATTTAATAAATGTTTCCATAGAGCTCTGGTCATAACTCAAGGACCACTTGTATTAAAACAGATCCGAGATAAGCTTTTTGAATGTTAGCTCTTCTCTCTACAATAATCTGATAGAAAACAGTTTAAAAATCAGCCTAAATCCCTTTCACCATCTTTTCTACAATTCTTAAAACAACTGCTTAATTGTTTTCCCAAGGATTAGTTTTTAGGATATCAGTCTCTTTTTTTTTTTTCAGAGAAACAAAATCGTTGGACCCAATATAAAAACATTTTTATAGGAGCAAATTCCTTGACCGTTTCCCATCTTCTTCCCCTTTTTATCTAACCTTTCCTACCCCTTAGTGCTTAGTCAAAATAATCCCCTTAACAATTCAAAATAACGTACAACTTTGCAGTTGCTAAGAGCAACATATATATAGCGGATATGATTGAAGCAATTTGGAAGACAATTTGAAATTCTTCAAATACTAATGCTGTTTGTTCTCTCTCTCTCTCTCTCTCTCTCTCTCTCTCTCTCTCTCTCTCTCTCTCTCTCTCTCCCCCCCCCCCCCCTCGTTTGGTCTAACGTGAGTTCACCTTCACACCAAGAGGTGAAAGGCAAAAAGATTTAATACTTATGCTTGCTTTTCCATAAATGGAAGGTTTTCAAGGAGGAGGGAATTGACAAATCCATCAAAGTAGTTTATTTAAGTTAGGAAACATATTCCTAATAAACAGAGGCCATTCTGATATACATCATAATGATCTCCTTGGAATAAAAAATATGGTATTCATTACATTTAGATGGCCTCCATAGAATTAATAAACATGATGAGAAGAAGATAACAGGTAATCCTCGATTTACAACTACAAACCGAGTCCAAAATTTCTGTTCCGAAGCGAGACATTTGTTAAGTGAATTTTGTTCCATTTTAGACTTTTCTTGCCGTACTTGTTAAGTGAATCACCACAGTTATTAAATTAGTAAGACAGTTGTCCCAAAGGTGCTTTGTTTTCTCTCCAAGAAGCAACTGGACTTTCTGGTTTTTCTTTGAAGACGTTTCGCTTCTCATCCAAGAAGCTTCTTCAGCTTATCTCAGAAGCTTCTTCTTCTCTCAGAACTGAAGAAGCTTCTTGGATGAGAAGCGAAACGTCTTCAAAGAGAAACCAGAAAGTCCAGTCGCCTCTCGAAAAGAGCACTTTCGGCTCAACCATGACTTGGATGACTGAGAATCTCCATAGACATTTAAGACAGATATTAAGTGAATCTGGCTTCTGACTTTATCAGAAGGTCTCAAGAGGGAACACATGACCCCAGGACATAACAACCGTCATAAATATGAATCAGTTGCCAAGTGTTTGAATTTTGATCATGTGACTGGGGATATTGCAATGGTTGTGTGAAAACCAGTCATAAGTCATGTTTTTCAGTGTCGTTGTAACTTCGTATGGTCACTAAACGAGCTGTTGTAAGTTGTGGTCTCCCTCATCATCATCATCATCATCTTTTAAATGACCCCATAAACCCTTTTGGGGTGAACTCTGGGCAATTGAATGGAGCTGAGTGCTTACTGGCCAGATGCCCTTCCTGTCACCGGTGCAGAGTTTTTTCCCCCCAGCAAATATATTCTCATTGTGCCCAGAGAGAGAAATATCTGCCTCCTACCTAGGATCGAACTCACAGCCTCCTGATTATGAGGCCATTGCACCAGTCGTGGTCTACCTGTTTTCATTAAATTAACGTAGACCCAACGATCATTGGGATCTAAGAGTTTAGGTAAACACAGGTGGCCAGAATGGAATCAAAGAAAATTTGGGTCCCAACCTCTGACAGGAGGTTGTTACTCCTGAATGGGCCACTGGAGAGGAATGGGCCACTGGAGAGGGAAGATCTGGTGACATTTTAAAGACTAACCATTTTATTACCGCGTGAAGCTTCACAGGCATCATCAAAAGCCCCGAGCGAAGCGGAACTAATCGATGCAAGCTTAATATTGGTTTCTGCTGTGGGAAACGCGGGTCCCCGGGGGAAATGAAGCATTCTCGGGTAGAGCCTCTTTAATCCATACGGATTTCCTGTGGTGGTGACTTTCCCTTGAAACGAATCATTTCTAACTCCTTTTGGAGGAGGAAGAGAAGGCGGCTAACGAAGTTGTACAATTGTCTCTCAGCGGGTCGGGTTAAACTGGGAAGTCGAAACT